AGAATAACTACAATAAACAATGAAATGACAATTGTCTGTCAGTAGAAACAATTAAGAATAAATTAAATTACAGTTATCTAAATCTAAAATTAAAATGAAGAAATAAAGAAAAGGCACTAGTAGACATATGAAATTATAGATAAATCCAGGTGTGCGAGTTCACATATTTGTACACATAAACAATGGGGATGATATCTGATTACCTGTAAGATAATATTAAATGCGACTAACAGCTCTCAAAAACATAAACATTATTTTTACACTTATTCGGAAGATTAATTGCTGAGGAGATGGAAAAATAGATGATGTTTAAATGAGGTCAAGAAGGAGGATGATCTGCGTATGGATGTTGGTAAGGAATTCCGTTGGTATGACAAAAGATTTTTAAAGGAAACAGTTCTTTGAGAAGGAATAAAAGGAATAGGTTTGAGGGCTGTGATCTTGTGTTGAACGAATGGACAGAGGAACAGGAGTGTAAACAAATCAAGAAGGTAAGTGTTTTTTCGTTAAAAAGGTTTGAAAAAGGAATACACCTAAGAAATTTTGTATTCAGGAGACTGAATAAAGCCACTTCAACTCTGCATAGCAACAGGGAGATGGGAGCACCTGACGACTCCAAAAATAAATCTAATGAAACAATTCATTATTCTCTTTAATCTGATCTTACAACCAACAGACAATCCACCCTATCCAAGGTAGCCATAATTGAAATGAGGGAAAAAGAGAGAGGAAACTAGGAGCTGAGGAAGCAAGGAATCACAGAATCTTAGTAACTGTTTGAGGGTAGCAAAGGATTTTCGGATTATTTGGGAAATATAATTATTATTATACTATTTTACTTACATATAATGACTATTACTGTCAATTATTTTCTCAATATGAGAAAGAGTTGATCAGCATTGGGCGGGGGTGCAGTCAAATAGATACTAAATTTTTAAGATAGTATTTTAATCGTTGCACCGATGTTTCAACCCACTTTGTAGGTCTTCATCAGGGCATGTTATCGGAAAACAGTCAAAATTTTCTCAATAGTAGTGTGTTATATTGTCTTTGCTTAGCTCTGAAACTTTGGTACAAAGGAAATAGAAATAAATATAATTTAATAATTTTTATTTTGTAATTTTATTAACTGAAAATCTTAACCAACTTTTCTTCAACAGTATAAGTAGCAATTGATACATTTGCATAGAATCTATGCATAAAGTTGTCTTAATTTCATATGAGTTTCCATATAGTGCTGCAGCCATTTGATGGTTTTACCTCAGAAAATTAAAGGGAAAGAGTACTCCTTGAGTACAAGGATGATATGTTTTACTGTCCTCACAGTTCATAAGGGCTTCTAATATTTACAGTAGGTGATCAGTAGAAAATCCAATATGACATAAACAAATGACTTCTTCATGGCTGAATTTCCAGTTTGAAATTATCCACTAAGTGCACTATATCTTAATTTAGAAATATTCAACCAACATTTTTCTCACTAGTACAATATATTTATTTTATCTGTTCTCTCCTCTTTCTGGATAGCTGGAGTTATTGCAGCTCGAGAGGCATCTTGAAACCGATTGACAGCAGAATCAACCCTCCCTCTTCAATTGATAACACACATTTTTTTTTCTCTCTCGTCGGCCCAAGACTCTCATTGAAGTCCTATACTGCCCCAAAAGCAAAATTCCATTCCTATGTTATTTATTCACTTGAAATAATTGTTGAATTGATTACAGTCGGATATCTTTGTTGACAATAATCTGTTCAGGTGCAAAGAAAACAATTTTGGTGGTTTCACATCTTCTATAAAAACAGAAAAAGTTTCTAGCTTTTGTAAGAGATATCTTTCCATTATTACTCAACACCTTACTTACTTTAAATCATTTGATGCATCAGTCTTAAGGAAGGTGGCCCATCACCAGGACAAGAGTCGTAATCTTAATTTTTCCACACCTTATTCACCTTACACGGCCTCCATTAAAATTCAACATTCTATAACAATCTTTTTGATAACACATTTTAAGATATAAGTTAACTTTAAGCTAGCTCAACAGTACACAATTGGTTCAGATATAGTGTCAATACCCAATAACTTTTATTAATACAAATCAAAGATTTTACAAAACATTTTTAACAGATAACAGCTAACAGATGTTTTTCTTATTATTTTAAACTGTATGAAAATGATATCAAGCCTTATCTTATTATTCACAAGCTTAATATATATATATATATATATATATATTATAAATATATATTATATATAATATATATATATATATATATATATATATATATATATATATATATATAATATCTCATAACATTAACCTCTTGACAAAACAACCAAAAATCAGAAACAAATATTTTTTACTTTGGCTAAAAAAAATTGTTCCAGAGACTTTTCTCCCCCTTTTCTATTATCTCTGAACTGAGAAGATTTCATTCTTTGTTAAACTGAGTTTGGAGTTTGCTTATCCTTAATCCCATTGAATAGAAATATTAACTTAATAATGAAACAGATTCATTATAAATATAAAATAAAAGATGATATTTCTAAGAACTAATATAATTAATGAAGATAACACAACATATTTCATTAAATAAATGTATTAAATACAAAAATCAGTCCAAAATACTCCTCAAAAAAAGGTTTTTCAAATAACAAGTTATATCATATTCATAGCATGCAGTATTATCACAGATTATATTTTCATGCATATTGAAAAAAACATTGCTGATGAAAAAAACTTCTTCGGGCACAAGTGATCTGTTAAAAAATGTTTAGATTAAATAATTTCTAAGAGAACGTTCAGATATAACTCAAAACCTAATGATAAATGTCTGACATATCTCATAAAATATTTCTAATGTTGAAAACAACTTTTCTGCAGTATTCAAACATAAAATAAAGAACAGTTTCATAGAATATTTTCAGTCCTTCGCATTGAAATAAAAAATTATCTTTATTCTGGAAATTTAGCTCTTTAAAAATAATGAAAATACACGATTCAAGCAGAAACTGCCTGACTGCATTAATTAGAGCTTAATTAAAATTTAAACTAAAAGACAAAAATTAAATATGATAAATAATTAAAAATTATAAATAGGTTTATCTTCCATATTCAAGGAGAATAGTCTTTGTGTTACATGTATGAAGAAATAAATGGTGTGTAAAAGAGGTTAGAGAAGGAGTTTTAGAAATTCTATAATATATATTGTTTTTTTTTATTAATTCATTCATAATGAGATTACTTAACATATATTGTTGTGAGAATAATAAGGATTGGCAGATTAAGATGGGCTGGACACATTCGCCAGATGCCTGCAGGTCATATCATATGTTACATCAATGTAAAATCAAGCGGTATTTAATATCAAACAGGTATTGTGTACATTGAAATAGTTTGTAGGGCTTAAATGCTGAATTTTCAAAATTTATTTCTCTCAAATATCTTTAATATTCTTTACTTTAAAAAATTAATCATTTCAAATTATAACTAGTAGTACCAAATGGTTAAATATAGTGAATGAAGAAAATTTACTGTTAACTAAGGAGAAATAATGATTGAAAACTATACGGAAATAGATGACAATGTCCGATCTTTGCTGAGTCCCTCCATATAGACATATCTGATATCCCTCTGTACAGGGCTTTCGTATTGTTAGTTTAACTTTTATATTTCACTTATCCATAATTTAAAAAAAATTTAGCTGGAGTTTCAGATAAACATCTCCATACACCAACCTAAAGAAAAATACCTACCATGAAATTCTTTGCAAAAAAAAAATCTAGAACAACTGTTACAGAAGAAGGTGGTGTATTTTTCCTTCAACCCATTGATAGGATAAGCACCAAATTTAATAGGGCCTCCTAACATCAAAATTGATCCTCAGTCCTAAGCGGTTTGTCCTAGCGGGACTCAAACCTGGTCCATTTAAAGAAAAGTAAAACAATCTTAAAAATTTTCAATTGTAAATAAATTATCACGATGGCTTATGATTTCACAATATTAAAAATTTAATTAAAGTAAATTAAATAATAATTTTAATTGAGACTGGGAGGAATGCACCTGACTCATAAGAAAAACTTAATGCATTACACAACAGAATGTAAGCTTTACTGTCACTGCACCTCTATAACATCCAAATATAAACACACCAAGTTTAATTAAAAATGTATTATACCTATTTCTATGAAATATTTCGTGTTCATAATGTTTAACATGTTCTTCATCTTTTGTAACAAATTTATTACTTAGTAAACAACTATAGAGATGATCAAAACCATAAAAAAATGATTTTGATATGAACTTTAAAAAATCACAGCAATGCTTTTGAATTTATTCAGTAATTATTTTAATAAGCTTTTTAGATTCTCAAGTATTTTTTCTATTGCTCTATTTACAGATAAGTCCTAAAAAAATCTACTATAGTACTACCATAATTTAGATAATAATTGTTACAGTATTCCAACGTGAAACCATTTAGAAAGGAATTTTGACCATAAAACATTTCATATCAAAAAAATTCATAGACTAATTTAAAGTTGTTTTAGATTTTCATAATCTTAGAAATAATATTAAATAAATAAATAAAAAATAATTATAATGATCTGAACTTTAAATATATCTCAAAAAGTATTCTCAAATATATTATTCAATAGAAAATTTTAAACAACCAGATTTCTGTGAGTATAAAATAAGTATTTTAAATTTCATGTCATTATTCAATCATGGCATTAGAATACAAATAATTGGTATTGAATTTTCTATTATTTTTAAAAAATGTCAGCAAATTTGTAGTAATAAATACTAATTTACAGAAAAGACGGGTATTTCGGTAATCAACCAGTGTTAAAAAAAGTCAATAAATAAAAAGATTTATTTTGACATAACAACACTAGAAAACAGATATTAAAAATAAATGCTATCACTAAGTATTAAAATGAAAATTGATTAATATTTAAATTATTTCTTAAATATATAGTACATATTGTATTAAAATCTATAGCCTATACAATATACACATAGAACTTTTGAGACCAAATTAGTAATGATTTTAAAAAACAGATTCACAACGAATCCCCTCCATTTTTAATGTCAAGTTTATTGCCATTTGTCCTTACGGTATAGTAAAAATTGGAAACCACATCTTTTTCTGTCACAGGCAGAGTTTTAAAATGTTTTTGCAACACTTCAGCTAACTGTGGTTTGTTCAAACCGGGTCTGGTAGGTACTTTAAAATGCCTCTTATATCTACGAAGAGTATTAATCTGAAGTTGACCGAGGTCAATATCAGGATACTCAATATCACCTCCCTCAGTAGAGTCATCTTCTGAATCTTTCCTTCGTCGCTTAGTTCTTGCAGACTGAATCATACATTTGTGGTGATCACATATATAAATATGCCTGGCATTTGAATCAAGATGAAGCTTGAGGCGGCGTTGAGTTACAATTTTCTGAATCCGTTTGCTGTAAGATGCATTACCTGCAGGCCTTTGGCATCTACCACCTTCATCTACTAAGCAACATATTTGATCGGGAGGGCCCCTAGAATCTTCTTCTCCAGTGCTAAAACCATTAGCACTTTCACCACGATGCATTCTCCACCTAAAATGTAAAGCCTTAATAGTTTTTCATATCATAAAAACACTATCAGATTATCAATGATATATTACTGATATGGTGAAAATGTTATCAATTGATTGTGTGTAGCAATAATATTCACAGCATAAAATGATATAGAAATTAAGCAAACTTACATTGATCCTCAGGTTTATTGTCCAATGCACTTAAAATCTTAAAAGATTCACAAAAATAACAGTCAAATGACCATATATCTTGTCAGTCCATAACGCTTTTGGAAGCGTCCTTTCCAAATAATCACATTTAACAATATTTTCTCAAGTTTTTGACAGGAAACTTTCAAAACACTAACTTAGTCAACATACTGCAGGAATGATGGATTTAAGTTTTCAAATTAACTGGAATATGACAAGACAGTAATCATAAACATTCAAAAGCTACTCGCAGGTGGCAATACTTAAAACCTATCCTTCATAACTGGTTCAGGTTATAGTAAGGTTATGTTGTCTCAGTAAACTCGTGTTGTAGTTATTGAATGGGTTCAGAAACAAGTTTCCAAAATTGAAGAATTTTTGTGTCTAGCTTTAACAGTATTTATTTATTTAACACAGTTTCTTTATAAATCGGTAGTGGGTATCTAAAATTCGGAGAACTCTTAAGAGAAATCTGTAAAGTTCTTTCTTACTGAACACGTGAGTAAAAATTTGAAATTATGGAAGAAAAAGAAAATACTGACCAGGATACTAATAGTGAAGAAGAAACTAGTGAAAGCAGTAGTGATGAAGAAGAGATTTTAGATGCAATTTCAGATAAGGACTTTTTCAAAACGCTTAGTTGCCTTAAAGTCAAGGATCCAAGTATATATGATCATAATGTTAATTTTTTCCCGAACTCAGTCAAAAATGAAACAAAAAAGAAAAAGAAAGAAGATGGTGAAAAATCAGTGTTTGTTAAAGACTATGTAATTGGAGTTGTTGATGAAGAATCTGATGATGACTCCAAAACACCTAAACCTTTAACATATGTTGAAGAACAAGAAGCTACTAAGAATTTTTTTAAAAATCAATTGAATAGTGATTCAGGTTCTGATGATGAAAGTCGGGAAGCATTGATGAAGGTTAAAGTAAAAAATGAAAAGACTAAAGAAGAGGAAGAAGCTGATTATATTCAGTTTCTTAAAGGTGTAAAGTCAGAATTAGGTGATAAGGAGGAGGAGAAAAAACTGAAGCCCCTCCATGATTTTTGGAACAATAAAAATTTAGATGAAAATGAGCAGTTTTTAAAAGATTTCATATTGAATAGGAGATATTTAAGTGAAGAATCATCTACTATCCCTATCAATGAAAATTTATCTGAAGATGAAAGAGAATTAGAAGAGCAAGCTGAATTTGAAGACCGATACAATAGGAGATTTGAAACAGAAGAAAATCTTCAGATTAAGAGGTTTCCTAGACAAGTTGAAGGATCACTAAGGCGTAAAGATGATTCAAGGAAAAAGAAAAGAGTGGAAATTGCTCAAAGAAAAAAAGAGGAGAAGGCTAAGAAAACCCAAGAAATCAAGAAAAAGCAAAAAGAAAAACTGGTCGAGATTGAAGAAAAAATCAATCAATTAAAAGAGGCAACTGACAATCTAAAATTTAATTATGATGATGAAGAAATATTAGAAGATTTTGATGCTGAAAAACATGACCAAAAGATGAAGGAACTATTTAATGAAGATTATTATAATCAGGGGGAAGAGGAACATCCTGGATTCAATGAAGACGACTATAATTGGGATTATGGAGATATAAATATGGACTGCGAAGGAGATAATTTTGAGGAAGAAAATAAGAAACTTACTAGGACAAAGAAGAAGAAACTTAAAAAGAAAAAGGCGTTTAATGATATTATGGATATCGCTAAACCTTCATTTGATCCAACTGTCCATAATGATTTTAAAAAGTACTTCGATGAATATTATAATCTTGACTGTGAGGACTTCATTGATGATCTACCTTGTAGATTTAAATACAGAGAGGTTGTTCCAAATGATTATGGATTATCTGTTGAAGAAATATTAATGGCTGATGATAGTGAGTTGAACAAGTGGGCTTCTGTTAAAAAGATCATTAAATATCGTCCAGAACATGTTGAAAAGAATGAGGTAAAGATATATTCAAAGAAAGCTAAAGATGAAAATTTGAAAAGAAAACTGTTTTCCAGTTTGTATTCTGAAGACAAAGATGATTCACTACAGGAGAGTTATACTTCTGATATGAATACTAGCACAAACAGTAAAAAAAAGAAAAAGAAGTTAAAACAAGCTTTAGGCAGCCAGGAAAACATTGAATCTCATGATCCAGAGGAGGATAACATAAAACCTAAGAAAAACGGTGAGAGTAATCTCTTTGAGTCAAATAGTATTTCAAATATGGCAGAAAAAAAACGAAAACGAAGCCATAAAAATGAAGATGAAATTCCATCAGTAATTAATAATGAAAATAATTTTAATAGCAATGATGACTTCCCAGCTGACAGTTCTCAGACAGCAGAAAAAAATTATGATGAATTTTTAGAAGGCCGAGATTCGCTTTTGAGAAATTCAGGCAAGAAAAAAATTAAAAAACAAAAGACTGATAAACCATCCTTAGCGCTTGACAATGGTATATTAGATGGAAAGGAAGGAAATGATAGCTTGATAGTTCCAGAAGATAGGAAGGATTCAAGTGTTAATAAGATGGAGAATGCTACTTCTCAGGAGCATGGGCCAAGTTTTCCGAAAAAGAAAAAGAAGAAATCAGGACAGCGAGATGTCAATAAACCCTTTTCACAAGAGAATATTAAGGCTGGTGTTGCTAACAAGGATGGAAATGGTAGACCAGGCAATTCAAGAAATGGTAAGAATTTCAAAGGTGGTTTCAAACAAAAAAAGACTAGAGACATAACAGACCTTTCAGATAACAGATTACTTGCTTATGGTTTGAAACCTAAGCAGTTTAGGGCCAAGATAAAGTATTCTAAAAATAATAATACTTCATAAATTTTTAATTTGATTTACATCAATGTAATTAATGTAAATGTAAATATGTATATCAGAGTAAAATAGTTCTAACAAAAAAATGCTACACTCTGATTTTAAAAATTATATTTCAGTTTTTTTTAAATAACTGAATATCTTATTTTGTAAATATTTGAGGTAAATTGTAAATATTTATAAATAAAATTGTTTTTTTTAACAGGTATTTAGTATTAACAACCAGTTGTTTTTCTCCATTAAATTTTTTAAGTGATCATATCTGAAGAGAAAAAATAGCGATAATATTTATAATAAATTATTAGAGTTAATAGTGTTACAAAATAATAAAAAAAAATAGTAATGCCATTTCTGCACTTTTTGATTTTTCAACAATCATACTGATGGTGTTTTTTGTTAACTAATTTTTCACTTTTCTGGTTTATTTAATGATTAATGTTCTTGTAAATTCTTTGTTTTACTAAATCAAAACATGGGTTCTCTATAAAGATGCATGCATGCTTTTTTAAATATTTAGAAAACACATTTATTATTATATTAAATACACGTAAAATATATTATGTTTTGCAATTCCTTCTTTGATTTAGTTCTTTTAATAATAGTTATGAGAAAAGAAATCTTTATGAAATTTTTTGGCTTAAGATGTAACATTTCATAAATTTAAATAATATGAAATAATTGGTGGTGTGGTGGCCGAGCGGTTTAACATGTGTTGCCCGGAGCAACCTGTGATAAACTGAAGTTTACAATTTCAAATCCCAGGTATAATTCCCCCCCATCCTCACCAGGAATGAGAAACACTCCATATAGCTCAAAGGGGAGGTAATAAGAAAATAAAATAATTTTCAATATCTTAATAATTAGTAATTAAATAATTACTATTAGTTCCATTAATGTGCCTAATTTCAGTAAAAACCTGGGAACATTATTGTTCATATTGTTATAAAAATTGGAAACAGACTATGATAGTTTATTCATATTTAAATTCTCTGAACCTGCTATAGTGGACTACACTCTTACATGAATGAATATCCATATAATTATTTATAACGTTTTTTCAACGATAAATTTTATTTATTTTTTATGAAAATAATTTATAATTTTCATAATTCATTTATATGTACGAAATGGGCTGTTTAATCTGAATCTAAGAGGAAGGTGTCTTAAGTTCCTTGCTTCTAGACCATGGGTTTCCTGTTGTGTTCTTTTTTCTTTTATATAAGATTGTTACTTGTCCTATGCTATTACAGAATGCGACCGACTTGCGTCGCTCAGATACAGACTTGTGGGCTCAGATAGAATACGAGAACACAAATCTACCTCCATAAAATAGTCCAGCGTTTTGAACTTCATTAGAAGAACAAAAAGGTTTGAGACAGAGTTGGAGGTATTATAGCCTAACATTGGTATTACTGTTTTAGGGTTTGACAAAAAAGAACAATAGGCCCACTTACTGGACTAAGTCCCCCCACCAGACCCAGTTCCAGTGTCCTATGTTGGTCTTATTCATTATTCATTAGTCCATTAATAAATTCATCATGGATATACATACACACACATATATATATATACATATATACATACATATATAAATCATAGTATATTTCCATTACTACTTTATTTATTGTAATCAACTAATCACTGGGCTTTATAAACGGACACAGTAGTTCCTACCTTTTGATTATGGGGTACATTGAACCTCTGCTAAGTTTTTGATCAGTTTGATTTGAAAGTTCTCGATGAGTTGAAGTCTTTTTTTTTTTTGAGAAAGGTAAATTTTATTCTGGCACATAAGTCATCTAAGGGTTACAAAAATGAACAATATCAATTACATTTAAATTTGTCTGGCAAATAATAAATTAATAAAGTCGTATTCTTATCTTCGGAGTTCTTATAGAACATTTTTGAAAGAAATTTGGCTGACAAAACATTTAACTTAATTCTATTTTGTTTCCAAGCATCGAAAACATTTTAATTCATTAAATTACATTTTGTTTCCCCTAACTAATTTGATGTTATTATTTACAAATAAAATGAATCAATAATAATTAGTGGCATGCATACATTTAGGTATGATCTCTACGATTGTCAACATTTACATTTCTATTATTTTTATTAAGGAACATTTTTTTTCAATTGAATTTTATTATCTATATCTATATATATTTTTTTCATTTTGGAATAAAAAAAAAAATATAGATATAGGCTTATATCAAATAGAGGAATCCTGTACGTTGTTCTTTTTTTTGAAAAATAAAATTTCTTAAAAAGTATTGATATAGCTTATTAAGTACAATATTCATTGGTTCCTTATTACATTCCTTAATAGATTAAAAAGTAAACATTTTAGTTTTGAATTTATCTTAATTTAGTGAAATATTTGTTTCTATAATTTGAAAAATGATAACTTGAAAATTTGAGATGAACTATTGCTAGCTGTTTGGATGTTAAATTAATAATTATCAGTCGTATCACGTACAGTGAATACTAGCACAGGCAGATTGGACGGTGGAAAGGGAAAAAGAGGAGGAGAAGTTTCGGGCTGAATTGTTGCTGTAGGTACATTTTTAATAGGACTTAAAGAATCACTTAAACAGCATTTCATTCAGACAGCTAATTTATTTCTTTTTCTTCCCAAGTAATTATTGTTTTATATAGATATATAAAAGCTTTCAGCCTGAAGCTCCTTTTCCCCAAAATTAAATCCTGGATCCGCTACTCAGTACCAGAGAATATTTCTATTACCTTTGCAGAACTCAGGAACACTGATGATGATCCACAAGGTTGGATCAAAACATTACAACCCATAACAAAATACATGCCTGAAAATTCTGACTATTTATCATTCAAAGCTTTATATTTGAACTTTCATGTGAGAAAGATTATTGATGAATTGGTTAACAATATTGTTAATTTATACATTATGGTGTCAATACAAGATATTATTTATGTGCTTTAATTACAAATAAATAAAAATTCACAATATTTCTCAACTTCTTCTTCGGTGCATACTATTTATTTTCAAGTTTATTTATTATCAGCCAATTTTACACCAATTTTTAAAATTTTGTCAACTTAAATACATCACATCTAATTACGACGTTTCAGCTCGTTGAGCCATTTTCAAGTCTAAAAAAATGTTTACAATTTACAATCATATTTAAAACATTACATATTTCAACATATAGAGATTCTTTTTATATACCTAAATAACCATCATGTACCAGTTCTTTTCACTTATGCAGGATTTAGGCGTTTTTGAAATCAAATTCAGTTTAGTTTGTATAATATGTTGAGAAAGTCCAATCATATCAAATCAAATTTTGGACAGACATCACAATGGTTTGAAAAAAGGCTGAAACAGCACAGACAAAATTGTAATTAACAAAACACAAAAATTAAATTAGCTAACATACTATGCAAACTAAACATGAATTTGATTTCAAAATGCCAAAATCCTGCATAATGAAAGTAATATGAATAAACGTAGAATAAAGGAAGCAATATAAATAACTAAAAATTTTAAAAACTCTGGTAATAATCATACAGATGTGGATAATATGAATACATTTTATGCGAGTTCAATTGAAAAAATAAAAATTTGAAATGAATTAGCTAATTTTACTTAAAATAGGCCCACATATAATATTGAGAAACATCATTGTATACGTTTTAAAATAAATAGTCTTCCCCTACTCCTTTAAGAATAACCAGGCACTGAATAGAAATGAGACTGATGACATGTTGGTGACATATGATAAGGTAATTTTAACTTAATTGAATCATTTAATAAGAAATAATTGAGTAATAATAATGTTATAAAATAATTAAAGGTGGACGTGACAAAAATAAAAAATTGTATTATGAGTGGACGCATGCAATTCGCATAAGTGAAAAGCACAGGTACATGATGGGTATTTAGGTATATAAAAAGAATCTCTATATGCTGAAATATGTAATGTTTTAAATATGATTGTAAATTGAAAAAAATTTTTAGACTTGAAAATGGCTCACCGAGCCAAAACATCGTAATTAGATGTGATGTCTTTAAGTTGACAAAATTTTAAAAATTGGCTGATAATAAATAAACTTGAAAATAAATAAAAAGTTGGCATTCATCTTTAAAAAAATATTTAATGTGCAATTTGATTATGTCTCTGATTGATTTTATGTTATTGTTCAAATGTCTTATTTAAGTTATGTGTTTGTAGCTACTTCTCAAATGCAATTTTATAAACTTAATTCAGATGGTGACATCTTCCATCCATTATGGTGTTGATAAATAGTTATTTTTTTTAAAGATAAGAGTTTGTTTTTATAGCTACGAAATGTTATTTATGGGGTGCGGCTGTTAAATAATGAGACTGATGCTGTATAATATTTTATTTTGATTTCATACATATTTACTTTTATTTATTATCACCTTCCATATGAATATCTCCTCTATTCCTACAATGTTCCATGCGAATCTTTCAAAGTTTGAAACAGTGTTGAAAGTCTTCTGTTAGACCCTTCAGGACGAAAGCGCTTTCATAGCTTCAACAAACTCAAATCTTCCCTTTTAATACAGATTGATTGATGAATCGTGGATTTTTACTTATGATCCTGAAAGAAATAGCCAATCCATGTGCTCGAAGAGCTCAACCTCACCGAGAAACAATCAAAATTCAATGTTATGATGGTTTTTTTTTTTTTTTTTTTTTATATGTGGATAGTATACTATCCAAATGGAGCATTGTAGGAGTAGTGGAGGGATCTATATTGAAGGTCATAATTGGTTAATTTGTTTGAAATCAAAATAAACTATTTTACAGCATGTGTCTCGTTATTTAATAGACACAGTTCCTATATAGTTTCAAAATTTTGGTAGCCCAATCAGTGATGTCTGTAACTATTTCTGCAATAATCTCTCAACTCCCTTGGATATAGTATCTTATCGTTTCTTTTGTTTAGATACTATCGCGGATTTCGGTATATGATAGATATGATCTATGGTAAAGAACCTCTTTAATCTTGTGAGAAAAGTTTCATTGTCATTTGGTCTTTGTTTGCTTCTCAGGCACCTTGAGGGTTGAACGCTTTCTACTACCACCATTAGGCTACTACTATTGAATTATACTTGGGCTAAGCCATATTTGGATTATTTGTTATTCATTCAATAAGTGAATAAAATACAATAATAAGTATCGAGTCCTACC